AATTTGGGCCTCAAACACGCCATCCTGTCTAAGTGATGCTAAACATGAGCTTGGTCCTTTCAAACAGCTTAGTGTCATGGTGACATCCTTGCTGACTGCATTCAGCGTTCGGGCTTTTCTTTGATTTTGTTTTTCTTTTCGATCTTCAATAAAACATATTTGCTCGATCAGGGATCGGTTTCACCCGGACGCCTATTAATGTGAGAAGCCTAACAAGCAATAACAGGGATTTACTTACATAAACATTCAACCACGGCTGGAAAATAATGGACATTCATTTTGGAAAATTACTGATCTTCCTACCCAAAGATGGTCACATTCACACTAATCTATAACTTGAAGTTCAACTTCACAAAAGAAAAACCACAATAGGATTCACTAAATTCTTAATTAGCAATCACGCCAGAATGTTCAAACGAATCAATTTCTGAAAATGTTATGCCATTTTAGACTGAATAGAGGGCACCAATATCTGCACCGGTAACATTATCATCCTTCGTACAGAAATCACGAGATTGACAGGGAAAGTTAGCTTTTGCGGTACCACAGTTTCCACACGTAATGAAAACCACTTCACCCTGATTACCTTGTTAGGGTTAAATAAGGTCAGATAAGATGGGATTGATGTCCCAGGTGGGGTGAAGTCAGGTGACAACCATTTCCTTTCCGTTTCCCTGTGTCGATTTCCCAGTTGCTGAGATTAGGCTGCTTTCTGTAAATGTACTCAGATTCTGGTTCCTGAATCCATGTAGTAAACCTTAACTGCAGCCTAATCCAGTGTTTTGAGAGTTTCTCCTCCTGTTGATGCCAAATCTGTCCTTCATTTTTCGTTCTTTTGCTTAACTCCTCTCAACTCCCATCTCCAAATAAAGTCTCTATTCCTCCTTTCATAAGGTCCTGCTCGCTGTCCTGTCCAGACCAGCTCTTACAGACGCCACTGCATGCTTGCGTTTTTGGTAGACACGTGATGTCATTGCATGCAAGCCTTTGCCAGGCTGCACCTTGTTCTACACATGGTCAAACCTTTCCACCGCAACGCATGACATGCCCGTTTCATTGGGGAATGAGTTTGTGCATGTGTGGTATTCTTAAACTAGACCTCCGACTTCAATATGGAAAGCTGATGGGAAAGACAGCCGCGGACAGAGTTACAACATGGGAGTGAGGCACGTTTCTGATGCGGTCCCTGACCCGAGGAAGGCCAGCGAGACCTGATCGGAGTGTGAAACTTTCAGCGCCCTGACAGCTGAGAGTAGGAGGCGCTCCGCGTTCGGAGAGGTGCTAAGAGGACCTGCGCCAAAAGCTGAATTCTGAGCTCATTGTTCATCATCCGATGATATGAGCGGTGATGCAAGCTGTTCTCTTTTTAGATACATACACTTATGACACATTATACATGTATTCAGGAATACCATAGCCACAATGCCTGTCTTTTTATACTCTCTCGGCTAAATGAAGACTGGTTCAGCTTCAGTGACCAGAAAAGCCTGGCGTTAGACCCGTTTCAGTGGGTTCAGTACAGCAATGTTACTGTACAGGACGTATTGCTTAAATGCACATGTCGAGTGCATTTTGGTTGCATTGTGATCTAATTACTGCTGTCCAGCTGCGATACAGCAGGATGCACTCGGCATTGCAGTTCTGCAGTCGTTGGTCGAGTTCTCTCCACATTCCTGTACTTCCTCAGGCTACTTCTCCCACAGCTCAAAGATGTTGTTATAATAGTGTAGGTGCCCCCTGCGATGAACCAGCATCCTGTACAGGGTATACCTCACACAGAGTACTTCCTGGCGTGGGATCCAGGTTGTTTTGCTAACCCGCATTAATTGGAAATTATACAAACGGGTGGATTTTGTCGGCCGCCTTGTGTTCATATGAAGAAATGCAATAAGAGCAAAAGCGTGGTCTTTGGCGCCACCTTGTGGTGTCTTGTTCCTTTTCTCTATGTTTGTCTGAATACGCGAAAGGAATGCTTAATCTGTAAACTCGGAAGCGCCGGAATGTATGAAGAGCAGAGACCTTCTGCTACCTCCATTATACCAAGAGCTGGAGGACACTGACGTGGGATGATGTCACACACAAATCGGTCTTTAAGAAATATTTCCTATGGACTCCTGTTTGTTACATCAAATCATGACATACTTGTATTAGATTAATTCTGTAATTCAGAACGTAACCTTTAAAATCAAGTCAGATAAGTGAAACATACTAATTTAGGTGGACAACACAAACGATTTTATAAATATTCATGTCTTGGTGACGTTGTAATGGGCCACAACACACCCATGTAAAGCACCTTGGAGCAACTCTGTTGTGAAAGGCGCTATATAAAAATAAATTGAATTTAATTAAATTTGGATTTATTCGAAAGTCTAACTCAAATTCACTATAAGGTTAATCGTATTGGGTGTACCGTTTGAAATGCCGGAGTGCAGACTGCTCTGGGGTACGTTTACGAAAATCACAGTTGTTAACAAAGCGAGCAACTTACACAGGTGGAGCCGAACGCTTCCAGACACGGAAATTTTGGGAAACGTGCCCCTGAGCCAGAGGCCCAGCTGCATCAACTCAGCTCCGCGTGAGGGGCGGCCAGACTCACAAAGAATACTCTGTGCCTAAAACCAAAATGTCACCTTCACCAGTAGCTTATAAGTTTTTTCATTTTTCCTAAAAGCTTCATTGCTGTTGGTCGTGGCACGTACATGTGTTTGTGTCTATAAGCCTACATATGCGCATCGGTAAAGCTGGATCGCATCCTAAGCTAAGGGACCTTGAATCTCATTTTGAATACCGATTATCAAACGACCTTCTTTTAACATCAATAATAGATTAACGCTGTCGCTGTGCTTCTCTTAGATCAGACACGGGCTTCACACATCCGCCTTTCCGTCATGCTGAGTAATTAAGCCCGCTTTGCTCCTCCTCGGTCCTGCAGTCCTTTACGCGCTTACTTAGTACCGCATAGGCGGACGTCCTCGGAAACGCCGGGAGGCAGCGGTCGTTACCGCTCGGCAGAGCCTCCCTGGGAGGTGCCCATGCCGGTCACCCAGAGATCCAGACTGACCCACCAAAACAGGGCTTGCTGGGAATCCTGCTGCTAGACCATGTCCGGTCACACCTTCTTTCCCATGTGCACCATTCCCCATATTAATATCATCAGGATCCGACATTTATATTTAGTTGGAGAAAAATCATTACAATACAGATTTTTAGGCAATTTTTCAATGTGCCTTCTGAAACTTCACTGATTCGATAACACATCTCTAATTACACCTCTTGCTGGTGGAACCTCTTTAAGGTCAAAAATGCCTAAGAAATAGAGACAGACAGGCAGCAGGACGTCTGACCTTACCCAGCTGCCTCGTTTGTACCTTATATTTATATTATTGCTTATCTGTCAGAATTATTTACACCGGTGAAATAAAGAGTGCAAGCCCTAATGCAAACACGTATAATTTTCTAGCTTGGACTAATATTTTCGGGGTGGGGTAGCGGGGCAGTATCATGAGGATCTATTCATTTCTCGCGCATTTACAAGCGCGTGTGATCGTAACGTACGCAGAATTGCTGGATTCGGTTGCATTTCATTTGCATAAGTGAAAAACCACCAAACAAATATTTTTAATTAGAGGGAGGATTTCAAAGCAATCCCAATCGTTCCCGAAAATCTGTTCGCAAGCGAAAATTCGTCAGTCGAACACGTTAATCCCAGTAATTTTAAAGGCAGTTATGTTGAAGGATTCACGTAAATGTAAGGGTTCGCCAACTGCAGTGGCTCCCAAAACGATCAAAAATAGGCCCACCTCTTACAACTGCGAACCAAATTGCTTTTCACTTATCAATACGGCAGATTTTCATTGCTAATTAGCCTACATATGCTCGCTTATCCATGCTTGGTTTTGCAGCCACGATTCAGCGTTTCCTCAGACTACATTGTCATCATGACAGGCCTACAAGGCCTTATAGGCTACTGCAGCATTCAACCAAGAGAAATATGACAAAACCCAAATTAGCCAAAGAAATTTGTTGAAATGGCTTTTAAGGTTATGTTTGTAAACACTTACTGAGCCAGCTGACACAGGCAGCTGAGGTTAGCTAAAGTCAAACCAGCGGTTAGTAATTGAGTGGAATGCACAGGCCTTCAGAAGAGGGACCTTGCTGCACACACAGGCAGTAACAAAGTAACACTAAAGTCACCAGTTAATGAGTGACAGGTGACTATGCTGCCACCAATGTACTTACTTTTATCTCCTTTTTTAAGTAACTTTTGGGGACCAGGCTGTCGGGCGGCTGATCGGAACGACTGCAGGCTGGTAATTACGAGGAAGCCACAGGTGCAACTAGAGTGCTGTGGAGAGGAATCTAACAACTAATGGCGCAAGTGTACTCCTGGCCTTCACTTCCCATCCTTATATGGGAATATAGTATATAGTATAGTTACTATAGAATATGGGAATATAGTACTTAAACTTTTAAAAGCCCCTTCGGGTGCACCTTCCCTGTCAAATGCATCATTAATTGTCATTTTTACACGGGTCAAAAAGCACTTAGTGCAAAGTCCTCTTCCTGACGTGTCATTTAAGTTTTCCGACTTGTGAGCACGTGGAACTGCAGTCGATTTGTACACAACATGACGCCCTATTCAGGTTTATATCACACGCATTTTGTCCAAGCTACTTCATGAAAAATGAGTCCCGCGCAAGATTGACTCATGCAAGCGGCAAAACACGTTTCACCCAAATTAAAAAAAAAAAAGGTTTTTAAATGTTTCAACTGGTTTCAAGAATCAAGTAGTGTATATTGTGTATATATAGGAATCTGCCTTCGTTTAAAGCAAAGCATTCTGGGACATACGCTAATACTAGTATCATACCAAAACTCAGGCAGCTCAATTGCAGGGTTTCTGAAACCCTGATTTTTGAAGACGGCTTGAAGGTTATTTTCATGCATTTCCCGACCCACCCTCATCATTAAAGCCAACAAGTGAGACGGACACCACGTGTTTGACGGCATCGTGTTTAATCCACTGAGAGTGTGCCTCCACACAGCACTGGCATTAAGGAACAGACACAGGTACGAGGCTGGTTTAAAGCGCTGGAAGTTAAGGTAACAGAATCAGGTCCACGTCCACTAGCTGCCGCCCTTCAGCACGGACTGGAGCTCGCCGCTTTCTTTCAGCTCCTGCAAAGCCAATAGGAGAGAGTAAGTATGTATAGTAATCCTCTGAGGATATCGGTTACGTTTCACTATATTTAGCAAATCTAGTGGCTCCTTCCTGGTAAAAGCTGCCCCATTTTCAGTCATCAGGTGGTGTTGCATGCTGCTGTCACACCTTTCAGCAAACATTTAACGCCACATAATTGGGAAAAAAAAAAAATCAGACCATTGTTGTGTCAGTATGTGTGAAAACAAATGGGGTTTCACCGCCACCTGGTGGTCAGTCACTGTTAATTCAGGACAAGGCCTGCTAAGGCAGAGTGGAATCTTCAATGAAGTGGAAGTGGGACGCACTCTGACGTCCCAGAAAGTCTGCTGTTTGGAAAAGCGGACGTTTGTGCCCTTCAGATGTTGCCTGCTTGGCTGAAAAGGTGTTGGTGTTGAGGATGATGAATGATCACGCTAAAACTATAGCACTCTCACCTTCATTATGTCCAGTCCACCAATAAGCTCCCCCTTCACATATAGCTGAGGGTACGTGGGCCAATTGGAATAAGTCTTTAGTCCCTGTCTAACCTACAGATGGTAAGAGGGGAAAAAAGCAGAATCAGTACTATAAAAAGCTTGTTTTACCATATTGTATCACAAAGACAGTGGTTTTTAAAATCAAGAAAAACATTGTAACTTTTCTACAAGTTCTTGCCCTTCACTCATTTTAAAATTACTCACTCCTTAAATGGATCATTCATAACATGAAACCTTTAATTATCTTCCTATAATTTACCTTTAATATGAAACCTTAATCTTCACATCATTTCCACTTGAGTTAGGCCACTTTATAAAAGATCTTTTTAGAAAGTTTGATTGACGTTACATGATTTAATTTAGTTTTCGTAATATTTTTACATAAAAGACCTACATTATTTCTTCGTCATAACTGGGACAGAGATGATGAATGTGGGGGATTGGGGGGAGCAGGGGAGTGAATTTGTAGACTTAACAGCGTTCATAAAAGTTGGAATTACAAAAGATCCGGTTAACAGCCAATTATGGCCATTATCTTACGTACACACGATCTGGGTGGCCGATATCATTCAACCTACATTTTGTACTTGCATAAAGTGGCAAGCTTTAAAACTTCTGCACATGTGGACCTGAAGGAGATCATCAGAGACCAGGCAAACTGGAGATGCCCTGATCTCTCCTGGCTTTGGTGCACCAAGGATCATCGTCAGGTTGCTCCTTTACATTTCCTTAAATGCACCCCAAATCGCCGGCCTGTGATATGCTTGCACACACGCCCCTAGCTGCCAGTTACAGTGACCCGAATATTCCGGAAACATCAATTAGCGTAATTACTGACGCTCAGAAAGCAGGCAACTACGCGCACATCTTCAGCTCACCGCTTACCTCCTCGTCGGAGAGTATGTCAAAAGTGTCGAACTCCACACTGCGGAAACCAGACAGACAGACACCAGGTCAAGACAGAAGCTCATGAGTGCTGGCAAAACGGCTCAGAAACAGAGATAAACGTTCTACCACAGTTAAACGTGAGAAGGAGCTGAGTCAGGCCAGCAGCTGAGGAACTTTCAGGAACAATCTTTCCCATACTGGGTTTCCAAGGACACACTTAATAAATCATTCCTGACTCCGATATGGTGGCATCTCCTTGACGGGAGCATCTCACATCCCGGATATCTCACATCCCGGATATCTCACATCCCGTTCAGATGACTTTCGAAAACAGATTTGTTTTTGTTAATATTAACAACAACAAAAAAATCAAAAGTGAAATGCTTGTCCTTACCCCTCGTTGTTCAGGATTTCGAGAATCTGACGGCTGAATCCACATTTGGCCCCCTATGTTTATCACAAAACACACGTAAAGGAGATAAAGCGATTACGCAGAACTTGAAAGTCCCACCTAACTAAGACCTCTTCCACCCGAGTTGTTTTTCCTCCACACAGAATCGCCCGCCGTCTCTCCCCGACATGAAGGCGATACCCTTCAGACACATTTTAACAAGCGCCAAGCTCGGAGCGCCGAACGCGGTCCGGGAGACGATAGCAGGAGGTCTGACGGGCCGGAGGGGGTGGGATCTCATCACCTACACTCCCCTTCCCGTCATCGTTAAGGACCACCTCAGCTTTTGGAAGAACTCTCCGTTTCCTCCGCATCAGAAACTGAACTGAAAAACAGGAATGCAGCTTCTGCTATGAAGTCCTGCTTTTGGCCTGGTGTTTGTGGCGGGGGGAGAGGTGCATTCCGCGGGCCGCAGCACAGCGCAGTCGACACGCTCGCCCAAACACTGCCCACTTAAAGCGTTTCGGTTTTGCTTTTCCTGTCGTCCTGTTTATCCATCTCACCTCTTTGTTTCCCTTCATGAAGAGCATGACAGGATTCTTGTTGATGAGCGACTTCAACCTGTCCA